AAATCCAGTAACACTCACCTAGACAAGCAAATTGTCCTGTTGCCATGTAATCAGCAATGGCAGGACAGTGGTTTAGACAAGATCAAAGTGGCCTGGTTAAACTGCTGTGGGATGCAACACAGGGTGAAATGATGAGGCTGTGCTCAGTGAATTAAGATCACTTAAACATCTTCTACTAACGTAATTCTAAACTCATCTTTGCAGCATTAAGCAGTGGATCTATACTTTGAAGGAATCCAAGCCGCTGTGTTGGGAAATAATGTCCTCTGAGGCCCAGGCTATGAGAAGGCTCCAGGGAGGCTGGTGAGCCCAGAGGCTAATTTAGGGCTAAAGATGATCAGCTGAATGGTCACCGTCCTCTCGGCCCCAGAGCTATAGCTCCCCTGCTCCAGATCAGCTCTGGGACTGTGGTGAGGAGGAACCCAAGACCAAAGAACCCCTTATCTGAAGCAATACCTGTCCCTCCTGCCCCAGACCCAGCTTCGTTTGTGTGCCATTACAAAGAAGAAAAATTGTACTCATTTCTGGTGATTCCTGTTTATCAAACCTATGGTCATTTGAAATTATGCACAAATTTCCTAGCTTCCCTGAGTCCTTTGCCTTAGGCCAGTGGTTCTCAACCTTGGCTGCCCATTAGAATCACCTGGGAATCTTTTTAAAATCCTGATTTCTGGGTCTCATCCTGTGGTTCTCAACCTTGGCTGCACATTAGAATCACCTGGGAATATTTTTAAAGTCCTGATTTCTGGGCCTCATCCTCAGGAAATTCTGTTTCTTTGTTACTAATGTTGTGGCCCCACCCCATAACAAAGAAACAGAATTTCTGGAGGATGAGGCCCAGAAATCAGGATTTTAAAAAGATTCCCAGGTGATTCTAATGGGCAGCCAAGGTTGAGAACCACTGCCTTAGGCAATCAGGGTGTAAATAAACTTTTATGCCCTAGCTGGTTTGGCTCAGTGGATAGAGCACTGAGGACTGAAGGGTCCCGGCTTCGAGCCAATCGATGTATCTCTCTCACATCGATGCTTCTCTCTCTCTGTTTCTCCCCCTCCCTTCCACACTCTCTAAGAATCAATGGAAAAATATCCTCTGATGAGGATTAAGCAAAAAAGAAACTTCTACTGCATAGAAATAATCAGATTAAGGGTCTAAGACAGCGAATTAAGGGGAAGCAGCGTTTGCCATCCTAAAATATGCCTTTGCGATATTGATTATTTTTAAGTGGTTATTTTTAAGAAACAGAAGACTCAGAAAGAAACTTTGACCTTCCCTAAAGGAGTTTAGATAGAGGACCTGTTCCAGGAAGGAAGATATCACTGTTGGTAACTATAGTTTACTATGAACTAGTATGTGATAGACGGGGAGGACCAGCAAGGCCCCTTTGATTAAAGTCCTCTGATGTCCCTTGTTAAAGGTGGCTCAACAAACATTTCTTTACCAAATATTTGCTTTCCTATCTCCACGTGAATTGCCTACCTGCCCTTTGAGTTTCAAACCACAATCCCTCCCTTCTCCTGAGTTCAAGATGACATAGAAGCTTTAACTCTGCCATCTGTCCTCGGGCCTCATGATCTTATGGAACCCCCATATGTACCTGCTTAATGAACTTTAAGATATTTTCTCCTGTTAATCTGTCTCATGTTAGTATAATTATAAAATTATTTTTTTCCTCCCCCACAGAATAAACAATTAGAGAATAAAATCCTGGGTGGCATCAGGAAAAACAATGTTCTAATTATAGTCAATTAAGTACTTATTCTTTATGCTTAATTTGTGCTTAATTACTATATAATGCAATAATGACTTCTCAACACGTCCTAAATTAATACTGGTATCCTTTATTTAATTGCAACAGTAAACCCTTCAGGCCTGTCTAGCCAGATCTCAAGGCCCAGCTCTGGGCATGTTACACAGTTCTCCTGGGAGCTGATCCATAGGCCAAGTTTACTTGTCAGCTTATGGAGTCAGCCATGCTGGAATGGGCCTCATCCTCCTTTTAGGAGGGTTGAGGCCTTAATGGGGCATCAGAGCACTAGGGCTGCCTGGGTCACCCGCCACACACTAAGCCACTAACCAACACCTGACTCACAAGCATCTTTCTGTCCCAAATGGCCAGGTCATCTGGTCCCTGAGGGTAATTGCCCACAACTTCAACAACATAAAAAGGGACTTGCCTGCAACTAAAATCCCTCTCTCAAGTATTTCTCTGTGTGAGAAACAGCATAGAAACAAGAACACCTAAAAGCACAGGATTTTAGAACAGAATTAATTCATGAAATACAAAAGAAAATCTATAACATTAAAGGAAGTAGAGGGAACTAAATATTTTTAGTATATTTTTCCCTTTATTTTAAGCCAGGTCAATAAGCCCATTAGGATCTCCTACAGGTTATACTTTAGATGTTTTAAAAATAGGTGAAATGTAAGTTTACATACAATTTATTTGATTATATTCTTTAGTAGAGAGAAAAAAACTGCATGGGGAAGATTTGTTTTAGAAAACAGAAAGGATGAAAGACTGACATGGGTGTTCCTATAACAAGTTACCATTCTCCCAGTGCTACGAATCTATAACATTAAAGGAAGTAGAGGGAACTAAATATTTTGAGTATATTTTCCCCTTTATTTTAAGCCAGGTCAATGAGCCCATTAGGATCTCCTACAGGTTATACTTGTAGATGTTTTAAAAATAGGTGAAATGTAAGTTTGCATACAATTTATTTTATTATATTCTTTAGTAGAGAGAAAAGAACTGCACGGGGAAGATTTGTTTTAGAAAACAGAGAGGATGGAAGACCGACACGGGGGTTCCTATAACAAGTTACCGTTCTCCCAGTGCTACGAATAAGAAGAGTACATTGGGTAGCATTTTCAAAGTTTCTACTTAATTTAAGGAAAATCTGAAGGGGGGCAGGGGGGAGGGGGAAGAAGGCCAAAAATTATTCCAAAACCCCCGTATGTTGTTACACTTCCTAAGAAATTTGAGGAAGACAGATGAAATATAAATCTCACTGTAGGTGATCTCAGCCATAATTGAAAGTACTTAGTGCACGCTCAGTTCACAATAGGGGTAAAATGTCTTTGATCTCTCTTACTCAAAAAATAACTTAAACAGTTATATTTTAACTTGACTCCTGCAAAAGAATAAATAAATAAAAGCATAATTGAATCCTAAGTGGTAACTTGCTTTTCATTGTCCCAAATAAATTAAGGCATAAATAGAATATTTTTTTTAAAAAAGAAAGAGGGAAGGATTTTTAAAAACTATGAACAACAGTTTTCTAACATTTTAGACAGCAGATGTTTGTGTTTGAATAAAATCTTTAAAAATCCAAATGTAATTAAATAACATAGTATTAGATTATAACCCAAAAAATGAAATAGATATTTATCAGTCCATATGGATATGTAAATAATTGAATAAATAAGTAAATGGAGGTTAAAAAAAAAAGCCAAAGCTCCCATGCAGAAGCATTTCAATAATTTATGCAGCTATGCAGCCCTCTCTAGGAGATAAAGCATAAATCTTATCTCAATAGCGTGGGCTACCCATAGTGACTGCTTTCCAAACAGTTCAGTATTGAGAGGGGGAATAAAACATAACTCCACAATGGAGAAACTTTAAAAACACTGCCCCAGCTGCCTTGGCCTATGTAACTCAGTGGTTAGAGCGTCAGCCTACACACCAGAGGGCCACAGGTTCGATTTTCATCCCTGGTGTCTCTCTCTCTCTACCTCCTTCTCCCCTCTCTTTAAAAATCAATGAAAATCAATGGATATCCTCAGTGAGGATTAAAAAAAAAACATCAAAATGCTACCCCAGCTAAGTGATCAAAGTCAACATTCAACATCAACAGTGATAAGTCATGTTCATCTGATGAAAATGGTGGTCTTCCTCTCAAAACCATAACCCCAGTCTAATCATGAGAAAAACATCATAAAAGTTCTAATTGAGGAGCATTCCACAAAATACCTAACCAGTATCCCCTTAAACAGTCAAGGTAAACTCAAACTGGAAAGACCGAGACGCTATCATAGCAAGGAGGAGCCCAAGGAAACATGGCCACTAAGCACAATGCGGTATCCTCCATGGGATACTGTCATACAAAAGGACATTAAGGAAAAACTAAGGAAATCTGAATAAAGTAGGGATTTTCATTAATAAAAACGCATTCAAGTGATTCATTAATTGTAACAAATGTACCATCCTAATGTAAGATGTTAATAATAGAGGAAACCATACTTTACTCATGCATACTACTTCACACTTTTCTGTAAATCTAAACCCAAAATAGTTTATTTTTAGAAAGGCCAAATTATGTGTTTGTTTAATGAGATGCTCCTGCTGAAAGTGGAGTTTAGAGAAGTTTCAGAACTCTGCTCTCTACATCCCTGGTCCCAGCCTCTGCTCCAGTCCTAGCCTGCCCCTGAAAGACAGAGCAATTTGAAAATCACTGTGGAGAAAAGCTGGAGCATGTTATCATTTCAAAATACAAGCCCACTGCAGGCGGCCTGGCAGGACTCAGACGCACGACAGTCCTGCCTTTAGCTGACTGTGTTAGACCATGAGCTCTAGGCAGGCAAAACCACACCTCAATGCACTACCACAGTCTGAGCACTGTTGGCACCAAGAGACTCTGCTGGATTATTGCTCCAGCACCGGCCTGAGCAGAGACTGTTGCAAACACAGGGTGACAGCTTTCACTGCCAAACTATTGGCCTTCCGTGCCACAGATCTGTAAAACTCACTTCGCCATTAGTCAGGCCCATTCCATGTCTTCCAGTGAGATCAGACGGGATGAACATTTCCAACACGCATGTCTGGCCTCCTGGTGTCGTACAGAGTGATGCATAGCCCCCTGACCCCCATCATCCCGCCAAAACCCGCCCCTGGATAGAACTCACAAAACAGGGGGAAACAGGAGTCTCCTAAAGCCCATCAAGCCTGTTTCACATTACTCTCATGTTTAATTGAAACATTCTATCACAGATTACTCACCCGCAAAACAAATAGGTGCAGCTGAATCAAGTCCTTGTAAGCTCTCTGGAAATGAAAGGTGGCGAATGCATATGAGAAGCTGCAGATTGTACTTCCCTTGTTCCAAACGGCAGTACTATCTCGGCAATGAATCACTGTCATGAGCGTGGTGACATCTGTGAGGTCTGGAAAGAATGATTAGAAAAACAGATGAATCACTTGGGAACCCAGGGTTCACACGCACATCAAATACTTATATTACAATTTGGAGAGGCATTCATTTAACAAGTGAGCACCTACTATGTCCAGGCAAGTCCTGCTAATGTTCTCATGTAAAAAACTCAATATTTAAGAAAACAAGACACAAGGGGAATTTGGATAATGATACATGCTGGGATGAAAATAACCTACTGTAAACAGCTAGGATGAATGGGGCTGGGGGCAAAGCTATGTAGACTGAGTGGGGAAGCAGACTTGATGACCAGGGAAAGCCTTTCCAGGGAGGGAACACTTGGTCTTTCTGTCATTGACCCAAATCTCAAAAACATGGCAGCCATGCAGAGACTTAGGAGACGCGAGTTCCAGGGAAGAGGGAATAGCACAACACAAAGGCTCTAAGATGGAACCAAGCCTGGTGTTTCCCAGAAGCAGAACCCCCCTGACAATCCCCAGAGATGGGCAACTATCGTTGAGAAAGGAGACAACTGAGGCTAACGTGGAAATAAACCACGCACACCCGAATCCCCTGCTAGTTTCCAAGCACTACAGAGAGCTGTCTCCTTAGGCAGGACCCTAGGCTCCAATAGAAGTGAGCTCAGGAAATCAGGCCCTGGTATGAGGAACAAGTTCATGAGGCAAAGAGTTGGGCGCCGAATGCTAAGTTTCTCAGGATGAGAATTTGAGGCCAAACATACAAATCAAGGCTTCCATGCACTGTGGCCAGGGCCCAGCAGCTCAACTAAACAGGGCACGGGTGGCACCACAGCTGGGCAGCAAGGGCCCACAGGAGCAGCCAAGCACGTGCACGGGACAATCATCAAAATTCCAAGGGAACTTACAAAATACCACATTGAGTTTTCCCCACCCCAAGAATCCCAGTTTAGTAGTGTGGACCCTAAGAAAGAAGATACCTACTACAATGGGCTTCTGGTGGCTAACTGGGCTCAAATTTTAAAAACAGTTGGGACTCTCACGCAAACTGCACTGCAGGGAGACACCTGCACTGAACTGCCTGCCTGCACTGTGTTTCTGCCATTTGAGCCAGCAAAGGAGTTCCTGGAATTGTGTTTCAACCAATAGGACTGAGGCTTTCCCTAGCTAATCTGAGCTGCACAGCTATAGCTCCATCAGCATCTTCACTGACCAATCAGATGGGCTCCATCCTGACCAATCAGGACACTGCCTTGTGGACCATAAAACTATAATAATGTGGAGTCCTCGTTTGCATAAGGACAGACCAATCCGGGACCAGGAGCAAGGACTCCTCACTATATAAATCAGTTCCCCTTGGCTCAGGAAGCACAATTTCTCTTTCTACTGAAGCCTGCATTTCCCCAGCGGAAGCTGAAACACTGAAGATGTCTCGCTGGTCCGGAACAGGCAGAGTGGGGCAGTGAAGCAGAGCAGGGTGGAATCGAGCTGTCTAGCCTGAGAGGGTCCTTGCCCAAGGCCACTTCATGGCTGTGCTGTTCCACAGCCATGCTGTTTCATAATTAAGCTGCAACACTATTGAGCTGTGCTGTTCTCACAGCCATACTCTATCACAATTGAGCTGTTTGCACTGAATAAAGTTTCCTTCTTCACCACCCCCCAAATTGGAGATTCTTGTTGGCACCAACGACCATCATTTGATAGTAGGTATGTGACAGATCTGGGACTCCAAATTTGAATAAGTTCTCAGGTGATTTTGCTTAGCCAGACCTTAGAATTACTGTGATTGGAGGAGGGGAGAGGGAAAGTTCTTCAGGGCCAGGGAGGTAGAGTCAGAATAATTCTGTCTCTATAAAATACCAGAATCAAAGATTAAATTGAATGTAGTTGAAATCTGAAATGTTTGAAACCAATTTGTCTGTTTCCACTGACCAGTGTGAACCAGAGCTGAGCAAAATTGGCTAGCTCGAAAAAGGTCGACCTATAAGACCCAGCCAAGTGGCAACCCCTGGCTGAGGTACAACATTGGGCTGAGCCGGCTTATGCCCAGTGCCACTTCACAGCTGTGCTGTTCCACAGCCATGCTGTTTCATAATTAAGCTGCAACACTATTGAGCTGTGCTGTTCTCACAGCCATACTCTATCACAATTGAGCTGTTTGCACTGATTAAAGTTTCCTTCTTCACCACACCCCAAATTGGAGATTCCTGTTGGCACTGAATTGGCACCAACGACCATCATTTGATAGTAGGTATGTCACAGATCTGGGACTCCAAATTTGAATAACTTCTCAGGTGATTTTGCTTAGCCAGACCTTAGAATTACTGTGATTGGGGGAGGGGAGAGGGAAAGTCCGTCAGGGCCAGGGAGGTAGAGTCAGAATAATTCTGTCTCTATAAAATACCAGAATCAAAGATTAAATTGAATGTAGTTGAAATCTGAAATGTTTGAAACCAATTTGTACCAGCTAATAGAAAAAGACAGATAAAAATGCATAACTCAGTGTATTCCTTTCCTCCCAACCATACCCCCAAATTCAGAACCACTATGACAGCTGAAAGAGAAGAATTAAACAAATCTCATTTCTCACAATGAGAAAGGATGAAGTAAAGAAACTCTGATGTCACATAGGTCAAAGCCAATGGTGTGCTGAAAAATGCTTACCTAGCTGGGGGCTGGAGAGAAGCCCTAATTGTAGTGTTTGCCAATTCCCATGGTGTAAATATTCCCACCATCACTGCTTTCAAGCTCTCAGCATGATGTCACTTAATTTCAGTTTGAGAAAAGATATGCAGTAGCTATAGTACTTTTACCATATAAAACAACAGATGTAAATAAATTCAAGAGCATAGATACCAGTAAGTTTAGTAAAATAATTAGTAAGTGATGACTCGTGGTACGCAGTCCCTCCTCCCTGCAAGCCGGCCCCAATCGGGACTATGCAAGATGGTAGGCCCTGATCCCTGGCAGGGGCCAAGGGACCCCACCCATGCCTGAATTCATGCACCAGGTCTCTAGTAAATAAATAAAAACAGAAAAAAAATCAAATTTTCTAGCTAATGTCAAAACACACACCTGAAAATATAGTAATTCTCAAAGGCATAGAGTTAGTTCATTCTCTCTAGTTGTAACCAGCTTTGTTGCCAGAAATCTTTCTATTGATTCTAATCACTGGGGTCTCATGGAATTCCACTGTCACCCAAGAATTCCTCCTGGGAAAAATGCATGTATTCTTCCTCTATATTCCCATAGGAACACAGCTTCCTGTCTACTCTAATATTAATTCCAATTTGCTTTATGTATTGATATTGCTCCTGCTGGATTTGAGGTGGAGAGGGGAGCGTGGTGTGTAAAAGAGGGGAACCAAACATTAACTTACTTGTTGCAGACCACATGGTGCTAGAGTACTCAGTATATGAATCCAAGATCTCTGGCTCCTAGGCTGAGGCCCATAGTCATTATTCCTCCCAGGGAGGACCTGTGGGGCCCAATGGTACCTTACAAACCTCACAAACCTTCTTTGGCTAGTCACTGCCCCATGACCCTGCATTTCCAGCCAAGGCAGCTTTGGGTTGGGATTGGGGTAAGGTGAAAGTTAGATTAGAGTCTTGCTCCATGTTCCTAGCTTTGAAATATTTAGCATCTACAATATCCTAATAGATGGGTTTTTCCCTTAGCATAATAGGATTCTGACTGGATTTCCCTCTCTCCCCCCACCCTTTTTTTAAAATCTTTTTGACATCACAATCATATTAACACCAAAAACATATTTATCCTCAAATCCTGTACCCTTATCTTAGCTTATATGTTTTTATTACAAAGTGGGAATAAGGGTGATATTTGAAAAACAATATCTAAATTTTATCTTTAATTTATTTTTTCTTCTAATTTTAGGCCCCTTTATCAAATTTACCACCTTGGGTTCTGCATATTGATACCATCACTCTGCTCCAAAGCCTGGATCCTCCATCCCAGTCCATTGCTACCTCCCCAATTGCTTTATTTCAAAGGACTCCATTATCAGAACTTGGGTAGAGAACACTGAAGAAAAAGGACAATGAAATGAGTACAGCTGCTAATCAAAATGCCACAGACTGTCAAGTCCACATCTACATATCTATTTGTAAGAATAAACAGCACAGTAGAACAAATAAATAAGTAAAACACTAGCCATAAAAACATTCTTTTCTGGAAATGTCTATATATTTTGAGTGAAATGAATTGCACCATCTTCTTTCATCCATCAATGCCCCCTTTCATTCAGCTCACACCTATTGTGCACTACAATGGATACAGCAGTCTCAGAAATGACAAAAACACAGTCTGTGACCTCAAGAACCTCGTCCTCTCACAGGGAAGATGGATGATAAACAAAATAATTGCAAACCCAGTGATTCTAATATCATGCTGTATATGAAATCCATTAATATAACAGTGATGTAAACAAACACAGACTCGATTGTTATGAAAGATCCCAAGCAGAGGCTAAGAGTTTCCTGGCATCTCCTTGACCCTAGGCTCTGTTGATTAGCAATGGTTTTAAGCAACATGATCACTTCTGGATAAACCAAATGAAAGGTTATTTTCAACCTCTTTGGCATGTCAAAGGGTATTGTTAATAAGCAACACATGGACCCTGAATTAACAAATTAGAGACAGCTGAGGAGACAATTTCCAATAAGGAAGGGCAGAGGATGCCTAGAGAATACTGCTTGCCAGCCATAACCCATGTGGAACAACCACCATGCCCTGGCAGCGAGTAGCGCAGTACCTCCCAGCAGGCTCCCAGACATCGCAGGGAGCACGTACCACCAGAATGAGCTCCAGCACCAGGCCTCCTCACTAGCCCACTGGGATCCAGCATCCTAGGATTCAGCTCCAAAACTCTGCAGTGAGTGCAAGCCATGAGGAACCCTATGCCCCACTTCTGACCTGGATGCCAGAACCGTGCTGATAGCCTGACCCAGAGCCACCCGGTGCCTTCTCCACCCTGAACCCTGGGACCTGATGCCAGGGTGACCTGGAGCAACCCAGA